CTTGCGTAACCAATCAGAACAAGCTAGTCTTAAAGACAAATCTTCTTCGTCAGATCTGAAGTAACTGTATCTTTCACGAGATAGTAAGGAAAAATCTGCTTATAACTTTTACGAATTCCTCTTGACATAAAAGTAACGGCATGATTAGCTTGTCACTATATCCCAAGTCTTTAAAACCATAAATCTTGTCGTAATTACTTGATTAATTATTTTTCCATTCATTAAGGCACTACATGATTCCCGAAGTACAGTTTGTTGTGTGAAGGAATTTTTACCTGACATGTAGTATTAAAGAATTAAAAAAGTTGAGATGCTTATCGCCATCAGTGATATCCTATTTTTCTAGCAATGATATCTTTTTCTTTTCTAATTTCAAAAGTGCTTTAACCAAGTCATTTCTATGTTGCTTCGAGTCCCTTCGGGAACGCGTTACGGCGACATACAATTTTCAGGTATTTTTATATGGCAAAGTACTTTGAAAATGATGTAATTTTTGTAAGATTTGTCGCTTTTTGTGCGGCTGCTCCAAAAACGGCGAGTGTGACGAGTGTGAATCAAAGACTTAGTTTCTTCGACTTATTTTTGTCACAGAGTACTTGTTTATGGCATTTCAGATTCCGCTTCTCAATCCCCAGTTTCTGTCAGAACTAAAGACGCTTGGATATTTTCTTTCGCCTTTTTTGGTGTGATTATTGCCAGGAATATGAAAAACCCAACCAGAACTGTTGTCCTAACACATTGGTTAGTTGTTATGCAATCTTCGACTAGAATGTTGCATGTGTACTTATGGATCACAACAGTTTGGTCATGAGGTGCGAAGTAAAACATCTACACAATTGAGATCCAATAACAAACCGTAAAAAAACCTATAAAAAAGTCATGATCTATTAGTTAGGTTGGAGAATACGAATTAGTTCTTTCCTTCAAGGATACTCAAACAAACAACCAACAGTGCACTCAAGAAGAAGAAAAAGAATTGTTAAATTTCATATAGACTGTTATTGTTATTACAAAAAGAAGTTGAAGCAGCAGCAAATTCTCACAAATCTATAGATCCATCACTTTCAGCACCTGATTTTTCAACTTGAAAAATGCAGCTCGGTGAAGAATCACAAGGTAACTGTTGTCTATTCAGACAATACTCTTCTAAAAGCTACGCGAAGTTACCTAGTGCCTTACAAGAATTGCCTTCATAATTCTTCATTATTGTCAATGGAAAACTGAAATTGTTGATTATTACAGTTTTTAATGCTGCAAATAAGCAGATGGGGTTCGTGTTGGAAATCCCACGTCTAATCTCGCAAAACAGGTTATCCACCGGATCTTACTATCAACTTCTGAAATGCCATTACTGTTTTTAGCCATGTGTACAACAGGTTTGTACGCATAAAACACTCTTACATGAAAACTGTTTATTGTCTAAAAACGAAAATACCCCATTTGAAGATGAGTAATGCAACAAATATAATTTACGAAACTTGAACTGTAATATGAACATAAAAAAACTAACAAAATGGGCCATTTAACAACATATTTGGTGTTGATATTCTACAACAAAAACAAATACTTTCTCGTATAAGGAAACGTACAATAATTCACATTTATCACTTTTCACGAAACAATGTAGCTGCTCTGTGACTTTGCATACTTATTACAGATTGTAGAACATTTTTTTCATTGTGTATTGTCATGTAACACCTACGTCGTTTTTTCCCTTTATCAACTGCATCAGGATCGAGAACTCTGGGCTGAGAAGTAGACGGCTTACTTTATTCGTCGTTGGTAATTTTGGATTCTTTGCATGGCTGAACGAAGCTCCCTAGGAAGTCTTGGATCTGATAAACGTCCTCTCATACGAAGTTAAATTAGAGTTTGCCTCAGGGGAACAATAAAATTTCGTCGCCTAATAGAACTTTCAGTCCCAGACTGAAAAAAAGGAATTTACAGAAGCTGGTTGGATACCAAATAGCACAGGCCATCTTCTCGTTCTCTAACCAGTATTGTAATTTACACACTTCCGATCTAATGCATTACCCCGCCTTCATAGTGTTATAAAAATAATATAGAATCTTATCAGGTTTCTTTGATTCCTCTACTATTTTGTTATCATGCTGCATAGATTGCTATACGAGAACATGTGTATTTGGTTTTGGAAGATACTACTCTAAGGCTGTACAACATAAACTTAGAAGTACCTGGCTGTGTTTCCTTCTTATTTGGAACTACATGTTGGGGTACTTGTTACTTATTTTTACGCTTCCTGCCGACATAGGTCAGTTGGTTGATGCGCAATTCTACATGTAATTCTACTGACGTGAACCAGTCATCTGCTGTGATATTTCTGTTCGTATAGACGAAAGCATTGAGCAGGTAGTGGTGAGTCTTTGCATCATCAGTCCATACTTATTCGGTTTAGTTTTCTTGTAGGCACAGGAAGGACATCGACCCACGAGCATCTCGTATTTTGTAGGGGACTCACCCGAAATATAACAATTTCGACAGTTCTCTATGAGTGTCTCGAAAATGTCACATATTTGGAGAAATTTATCGGCATTTCTCGAGTCACAGGGTTATTATTTTCCAGATTGGTTGCCACGGACTTTAGTTCAGGTAAATGCGTAATAATCGACCAGTTGCAGGCGCTCGTTTTGACCAATTGTACATGTTTTTTCCATAGGCATAGCGAGGTCGCCCATAGGAAGTTGTTCAGGTTGATCGATAGCAGCGTCGTCCTCGGCGTAGTCTATAGTGTATTGTTCATCCGTCAACAACGAAAAAATCCATTGTGAAGGAAGTTCAAATCGTACACGCAACTGACATCCTCGGATCAAATTTGACCGCAAAGTCAGCAAACCAACAATTGTGATGTTTAAATTAAACTGTGGTTTGAGGTATACGTGCTCATACCGTATGAGAAGTCACGGGACCCCCACCACATAACTGAGAAAGCTCGAATCATCCGACGATATCATTAAAGGATTAATTTCTATATTCTTGAACGAATCTATAAAATCAAAGTGGCTGGGTTTCAATTTACATAGCTCTTTGTATGGTCTTGTTTGCTGATCAACATTATATGATTTCTAGACATGTTCAATCTGTGCAGCTTCTTCACTTTCATATTAATGTCAATAAGAGCATTTCATCCATTTTTGAATAAATGTGGTTCATCACAAATTGTAGAAATACTCTGAGCATTGACTATAAATGGAATGGACTTGATCCGTGAGTATTCTCCGAGCAAATCGTCTCAAGTGCGTTTTTGATCGTTGCGCCCTGATTAGAAATAGTGCCAACAACGCACAAACCAAGTCGCTGCTAGTTTGTGATCACATGAACAATAATCGTTTTCAGATCTGGGATTCTTGTATCTTTTACTAGATAATAAGCCACAACCTGCTTATAATTTTTACGAATCCCTCTTATCATGGAAGTAAGGGCATGATTTCTGATAAATCACTTTTTCAGAGTTCTAGTTGATTTTGTTACATCAGAATTCAAGATTTATCAGCTGAAAATTGTACACTGTGAGCACTGGGATCAGCCCTAAACTTTGTCCAAACCCTGCAATAATCGTAAACACTAAACAAGGGTAGACATATTTCTAGTTTAACTGCCTGAAGATTTTCTCTATGGTTTATACGTAACTCTCCACCTATTATCTCATTTTTGTACATGTTCTGGGAGAACTCAACTTGCTCCCTATAAAATGCAACGTCTTCCTGCACAGGTGGTTCTGGTTAAGTGCCAGCCTGCTTCGGGTTTGTAATTAGTTGTTGCAATTTTCTGATTTCGTCGACCTTTTTCATAATCCAGATTTCGTTTTGGCATTCCAGTTCAGCCATTGATCCTGAAGCTCTTTTATAGTAGAATCATTATGGCATCGTATATCTGAGATTTTAAATGAGTGGTTGACCTCACGTTGGTTACTCTCGTCCATCAGACTCTTTACGTCATTTCTCAGTTTAGATTCAAGTTCTTTTAGGAAGCCAATTTCATCTTGCAGTTCAGCAATGTGTGACATCGTTACATCAGTTTGTTGCAGCAGCACTTAAAGAATGTTGCATATCTTCGTACTCAGCGTCAAGCATAGCTTCTAAGTCTGCAACCTTCTTTTTGACTCAATATTTTGAGCTTCAAGAGATGGTTTAGGGCTCTCTGATCTTCCTAGGTTCTTCAGTTGAGTACGCAGCATCTCTATTTCTGACTCGTATGTTTTTAGTCTTTTTATTATTTTTTTCCAGAAATCGAGTCTGTATTGCAAGTCGATGAAATTCTTGCGCTTTTTTGAGAATTTTTTGAACTCTTTCTATTTCTTCGTTGTACGCATCCGTTACTTGGCGGAGTTCCTGACTGTAACGATCGATTTAGAATGGCTTCTGTGAGCTGTTTTCTTCAGGTCCAAAATCTCCAGCTGATTATCTAGTTTAGTGAATTCTCTAAGCTCATTGAAAGATTCTTCCAGTTCTTTGAGTTGTCTTTTAAGTACACTTGCACGTCTTCAGCTATCACAGATTCTGCTTCGGCTAGTGCCTCCTCATATGTCTCTTCTTGAATAGGCCTCATTTCACGTCCGGATGATTCTTCTTTGGGTGGATAATTTTTCAATGGCATATACCCTAGGGATGCTTTTTTAGGTGATACGTTGCCATAGTGTCCAAAAGTATGACGTCTTAATGTTTTTTTCGGTGTTGATGCCGAGGCTCCCATTTGAAAGCGCCCGACAATAGATACTTCCGTTTTTAGTCTTTCTATCTCGAGCAGATACTCTTGTTTGCTTTTATCCATCTCTTTTAGCTTAATTGCCTGCTTTTTGAGCCGAGTTTCGAGATCGCGAGTCAAGTTCTGATATCCTTGAAGTGTCTCTTCTGTAGCTGACAAGATGTTTACTTTCGTTTTATTTTTGACAGTTTTAGTGCTTTGGGCGAATTCTGGTGTAGATCTAGTCTCCTCCTCTGCAGCTAAAGTAACATTCCCGATAATCAATGATTTGGCATTACCGCCAAGAGCCTGTGAGAGCAGTCTAGTCAATTTCGAATCGCGATAACTGATAAACTCCTTCCCCTCGCTTAGTTGCCTTATCACATTTCCTAATACTGACAAAGATTTGTTTATGTTAGCCCCCTCTTTAAGACGCTCACCAGCAGCTTTCGTCAGAGAAACTCTCTCAGAACCAGCTAAGTCCATTAAGTTAAGGTAGCTTATATGTACAGGTCCATCTTTCTGATTGGCATCTTTCGACTCCAGAATAATCCGGAAAATCGTGTGTGATCGAGATGACCTCTCATTCATGCGAGTAGCTGCAACTCGTCTGATCTTATTGCCCTGCATCATGTTCTCCATAACTTTATCAACATTGTCTACGACAGCTTCCCTTGCATCAAGCAGCACATTTCCTTTGATATCTTCTCTTATAGTTAAACCCTGATTGCTCTTATCCAGGAGGTCATTGATCTTTTCATTGTAGATTTCAATATAACTGCATCTAATCAAGTACCTCTTATCAACCTGGTCTGCCACATGCTGGAATAACTGATTGGATACTAATTGGAAAAGCCCAGGATCTGTTTTATTGCCCAAAATGGGTGTGTTTTGCCAGAAGATGTTTGGCCATATGCAAATATTGTGGCATTGAAACCTTCCATGAAGGAATCGACTAAAGGTTTTACTACAGATCCATATACATCTGAATTTGTACATTCCTGCTTAAATACATGGTCGAATATATAAACCTCTCCATGGCGACTACTTTCATCGGCTTCCCATATGCAGTTTACTCTTACGTTCCAAAGACGCTCTAGACCATCGGCTACTTCGCGGTGGATCATTGGTCTGATCTTTGTGGCTACTTTAATATTGTCGGAAGTCATTTTGGAAGCTTGAACTGAAATTTAATTAGAACTAGGGCTATTTCACGGGTTATAAAGAGGGGCACTTTTCATAATCCAGATTTCGTTTTGGCATTCCAGTTCAGCCATTTGATCCTGAAGCTCTTTTATAGTAGAATCATTATGGCATCGTATATCTGAGATTTTAAATGAGTGGTTGACCTCACGTTGGTTACTCTCGTCCATCAGACTCTTTACGTCATTTCTCAGTTTAGATTCAAGTTCTTTTAGGAAGCCAATTTCATCTTGCAGTTCAGCAATGTGTGACATCGTTACATCAGTTTGTGTAGCAGCACTTAAAGAATCTTGCATATCTTCGTACTCAGCGTCAAGCATAGCTTCTAAGTCTGCAACCTTCTTTTTTGACTCAATATTTTGAGCTTCAAGAGATGGTTTAGGGCTCTCTGATCTTCCTAGGTTCTTCAGTTGAGTACGCAGCATCTCTATTTCTGACTCGTATGTTTTTAGTCTTTTTATTTTTTTTTCCAGAAAATCGAGTCTGTATTGCAAGTCGATGAAATTCTTGCGCTTTTTGAGAATTTTTTTGAACTCTTTCTATTTCTTCGTTGTACGCATCCGTTACTTGGCGGAGTTCCTGACTGTAACGATCGATTTTAGAATTGGCTTCTGTGAGCTGTTTCTTCAGGTCCAAAATCTCCAGCTGATTATCTAGTTTAGTGAATTCTCTAAGCTCATTGAAAGATTCTTCCAGTTCTTTGCGTTGTCTTTTAAGTACACTTGCACGTCTTCAGCTATCACAGATTCTGCTTCGGCTAGTGCCTCCTCATATGTCTCTTCTTGAATAGGCCTCATTTCACGTCCGGATGATTCTTCTTTGGGTGGATAATTTTTCAATGGCATATACCCTAGGGATGCTTTTTTAGGTGATACGTTGCCATAGTGTCCAAAAGTATGACGTCTTAATGTTTTTTTCGGTGTTGATGCCGAGGCTCCCATTTGAAAGCGCCCGACAATAGATACTTCCGTTTTTAGTCTTTCTATCTCGAGCAGATACTCTTGTTTGCTTTTATCCATCTCTTTTAGCTTAATTGCCTGCTTTTTGAGCCGAGTTTCGAGATCGCGAGTCAAGTTCTGATATCCTTGAAGTGTCTCTTCTGTAGCTGACAAGATGTTTACTTTCGTTTTATTTTTGACAGTTTTAGTGCTTTGGGCGAATTCTGGTGTAGATCTAGTCTCCTCCTCTGCAGCTAAAGTAACATTCCCGATAATCAATGATTTGGCATTACCGCCAAGAGCCTGTGAGAGCAGTCTAGTCAATTTCGAATCGCGATAACTGATAAACTCCTTCCCCTCGCTTAGTTGCCTTATCACATTTCCTAATACTGACAAAGATTTGTTTATGTTAGCCCCCTCTTTAAGACGCTCACCAGCAGCTTTCGTCAGAGAAACTCTCTCAGAACCAGCTAAGTCCATTAAGTTAAGGTAGCTTATATGTACAGGTCCATCTTTCTGATTGGCATCTTTCGACTCCAGAATAATCCGGAAAATCGTGTGTGATCGAGATGACCTCTCATTCATGCGAGTAGCTGCAACTCGTCTGATCTTATTGCCCTGCATCATGTTCTCCATAACTTTATCAACATTGTCTACGACAGCTTCCCTTGCATCAAGCAGCACATTTCCTTTGATATCTTCTCTTATAGTTAAACCCTGATTGCTCTTATCCAGGAGGTCATTGATCTTTTCATTGTAGATTTCAATATAACTGCATCTAATCAAGTACCTCTTATCAACCTGGTCTGCCACATGCTGGAATAACTGATTGGATACTAATTGGAAAAGCCCAGGATCTGTTTTATTGCCCAAAATGGTGTGTGTTTTGCCAGAAGATGTTTGGCCATATGCAAATATTGTGGCATTGAAACCTTCCATGAAGGAATCGACTAAAGGTTTTACTACAGATCCATATACATCTGAATTTGTACATTCCT